AACCAGGTTGATGAAGACTCAGATATGGTGTCCGCCTTCCAGCTTTGCCAGGATAGAACTCAGCATAGAAACAATGGCCTCTACCAGAACATTCTGTCTGGGAGAAAGTTGTCCCTGCAGCCCTCACCCCAGAGCCAGATTATTCCATTCTTCACCATATGTGCCTGGTGCATTTCAAGCTACTGCCCTAGCGCTGGAGTTCAGAGGGAGTGAGTCCAAATAAGTTCATATGTGGTCCCTTTAAGAGAAATGCCTGGGACTTCAGCACCCTTGTCTCATTCAGCCACCATCCCAGTTGGTATTCTCAGCCAGAAGTTATGGGGACTTCTCTTTCTGCCACTGGAACCCTAGAATGGGGGTTCTGGTGAGGGGATGGAACTCCTTGTTCCTCAAGGGGGGGACCTCTGCACAGGAGATATCCCTCATTTGTTATTCTTTCATTGTATTCATTCTCTCATTTCCCTAATTCACCCAACGAATCCAGGATTGTATAGTATTAGGGCAGCCAGTGTTAGGTGCTGCAGAAAAGTTAAGAAGAATGAGGCCTATGGAAAAAGCCAGTAGGTTTTGAAATTAAGAAATTTCTTTAGAAAGTGAATGTTCTGTGAAGTAAATTGTGGTAGAGTAAGAAGCAGTACCATATTCTGATGGTAAGCAAGGAGAGGCAGCAGTTGTAAATTATTAATTGTAGAGACATTTAGTAGTGAAAGGTTGAAAACATTTTAGGACAGTAGGTATAGGCATTAAGTTCAAGGTGGCCTTTGTTGTTGCTGTTTTTTTTTTTAAAGAATATCAGAGATCTCTGTGTGGTTATGTTTAAAGGGAAAAGAACCTGTAAGAAAGGAATGTTTGAAAGGTAGTAATAACAATAATCATTTATATAGCAATTACTGTGTGCCAATAGTTGATATTAGCACTTTATATGTATTAACTAATTTCAATCCACATGATAACCAATAAGATACTATAGATAGGTTTGGAGTTGTTACTGGTGGAAGTGGAGTTCTTGGGGTTCCATGAGGAAAAGAATTTCCTGAAGTCCCGATAGGAGGATGGGATCTCATGGAAAACTTTATTGATGGTATAAAATTAGGGGGGTTCCCCTCCAAGGTCCCATCTCTGTCCATCTCACCATGGAAGAAGTTCAATCTTGTCTTCAGCAGGGCTAGAATTAGGGCCACTGCCCAGAATTTCTGCCCCATATTAAAGTCTAGTCCAGCCCAGCATCCTGCATGTGGAGTCTTACATGGCCATGGGCCATGCGGCTGCTTGAGGCCATAGCAAGAGAAAGCAAGAACGAGCACAAGAGTGAGGGAACTTTTTGGGGGATTTTAACCTTCCAAGATTTCACAGGCTTGCTTTCGGTTCTACCCCCTAGCCAACCCATTGTTCCCTAGGCTAGACTGACAGGCAAGCACCTTCCCAACTGTACTGTGCCTGTGCCCATCAACCCCTTTGTTTGATCCCTTCCCCCAGTAATCTGTGGGCAATGGACTAGTGGTTCCATGGGGAGTATGAAGCTGTAGCTTCCTGGTGAAGCTGCCCAGATGACCATGCTATAATGTCTGGCCTCCTCTCTGTTCTCTTTCTGTTATTAATATTAATAAACTAGATAACTATGATGATAACAGAATTATTGACATGTGGAGTGTACCAAGGAATTAAGGTGATTGCCTGTTGATTTATCAGGGTAAATATAGTTTCTTAAGTAAATTACAAGTAAACTGATATATAGAATAACAGAAACTAGAAATGTGAGCAACTTTCTTGGTCAAACTGTTTGGATATCTTGTTGTGTACTTTGTCTTCTAATGTTTGGGTTACTTTTGGCTTTAATCACTAGTAATGGGGTTACTTACTGTTCCTTCATCAGAAACTGAGATACTCTTCATGGTTTTTCCATTTGAATCATTGATTAGTTGAACACGGTCATTCTTTGTTGACCTTCTAAAATGTTACCCTATTTCTTGTAATAGACTCAGTTGTTTGCCTTTTTAAATTAAACTTTTAAAAATTGATTGATTGATTTGAGAAAGAGAGAGAGAGAGAGATAAACATCAATTTGTTGTTCCACTTATCTATGCATTCATTGATACATTGGTTGATTCTTGTATGTGCCCTGACTAGAGATTGATCCCAAAACCTTGGCATATCAGGACAATGCTCTAACCAACTGAGCTACCTGCCCTGGGTCTAAACTATATATATATATATATATTTTTATCCTCACCTGAGGACATTTTTGCATTAATCTTCAGATAGAACTGGAGGGAGAAAGGGAGGAAAAGAGAGAGAAACATCGATGTGAGAGAGACATAACTGGTTGCTACCCACACGACCCCAACTGGGGCAGGGGACAAACTGCAACCGAGGTACGTACCCCTAGCAGAACTGAACCCGGGCCTCTCGTGCCTCTCTGGTCCTCAGGCTGACGCTGGAACAGCTAAGCCAAACCAGCCAGGACTAAACTTTGTATTTTTAAAAATAATTGTAAAGTTGAAATGTTTCTCCAAGCATGTGGCTAAATTGTGCTGACATATCACTTATCCTGTGTGAGGTCTATTGTTCTTTTTATACAGTTAGAAGACTTATTCCTGATAACTTACAACTCTCTGGTATCCTAAGTCCCCAAACCAAAATTTATTTTTCTACTTTTAGGCATAGCAGTTCACTTATTAAGTGAATTTATTCATTGCTTATTTTGAAAACTTGCTAGTACTCTCACATGCTTATCACATTAAATCTCAGCCACAGTATGAAATAGGTATTGTGCCATTGTTTTACAGACCTGGAAAACAAAGTTCAGGACACCTAAGTAGGTTGTGATTTTATAAAGTAATCAAAATGTGAAAATTGAACCCATGTCTTCTAACTCCAAGTCTAGTCTTAGTCCTCTTTGTATAATATCACAATTACTCTATATCACTTGCTCTTTACAGCAACTTGACATTATACTGTTATACTGTATTCTGAGCTGTCCTTTTCATAGAAACGTATTCAAGTTTGTTTGTTTGTTTTTTTAATCCTCACCCGAGGATATTTTTCTACTTATCTTCAGATAGAGTGGGAGGGAGGGAGAGAGAGGGAGAGAGAGAGGACATTGAGAAAAACATTGACATGAAAGAGACACATTGACTGGTTGCCTCCTGCAGGACCCCGACCAGGGCCAGGGACTGAACCGCAACCGGTACGTGCCCTTGACTGGAATCGAACCTGAGACTCTTTGGTCTGTGGGCCGATGCTCCAACCACTGAGAAAAACTGGCCAGGGCTGTATTCAAATTGTATTCCATTTTATTTTGTCATCATATATATACTTTTTATATTTGTGTTTGTTTTTTTGTTTGTTTGGGATATCCAGTATCATCTGGCATGATATTATCTACCAGCTCAGTAATTTTGGTTATGATTTTACATTGAATCACTAATATGCATACAGTATAAGGTAACTTTTATATAACTTTACATTCTTTTTTATTTTGCAGATATCTAATCCTTTTTAGCTTAAAAATGTAATTTAAAACTTAGAGAAGTTGTAAAAAAATGGTACAAAGAATTTTCACATACCCGCTAGCTACATTTACTTATTGTTAACATTTTGCTATATTGATTTGCTTTACCATTTTCTCTCTCTTCATATATATATAAATACATACACCCTCCATATATACATGCATATTTATAAAATATTTTTCTTCTGAACCATTTATGAGTAAGTATAAACATGCTCTTTTATCTCTAAATCAGTATTGTTTAAGAAGTTCTTTTTCTTTTTAAAAAAGTTTTTAATTGATTTTTAGAGAGGGATGGAGGGAGAAAGAGAGAAACATCAATTGGCTACCTCCTGTATGCCCCCTACTGGGAACTGAGCCCACAACCCAGGCCATGTAACTTGACCAGGATCAAATCAGTGACCTTTCAGTGCATGGGACAACACTCAATCAACTGAGCTATACCAGCCAGGGAATCTTTTTCTTCTTTGAAATAGGTTGTTGGAGCCATGTTGGTAGAACTCTTAATTTATTTTTTCATATATCTTTAATAGATGACATTGGAAAAGAATTATGTTGCTTGGTGCTAGACCTGCAACTTAAGTGAAATATTTTGTCATCAGTATTTGGACATTTGTTACTGCCTCTCTTGGCTTTGTTCTTTTTGGCTTTCACCTCTAGTTTCTGACACACCTAGAGCAACTGTGAGAGCTTATTGCCTTACCCTACATAATACTGTCATTCAGAGCCGGAGAATCTTTTTTCTGCTACTGCCTATTTTCCCTTTGCTTCTTAAACTCAGGGGTGTGTACATAGGGCAGGCTGAGTTTCAGTAAGCTCCTAATGTGGACAGTGGAAACCCCACCCGCTTGCCAAGTCCTTTTGGCAGTGAGCAAAGTGGAGGCTTGGAACTTGTCATTCCTCTGCAGCAGTTGAGCGGAAGGAATGTTGCAGGGCTTGTTGGAAGTTGTTTAGCGGCCTTTAGTGGGGTGTGTGTGAGGGTGTGTGTGTAGAGTTGAGGGTCTTGGGTAGTCTGTGTGGGAGACCTGAACTCTTTCCTGGTGCCATGCTAATCATTAGGTAGTATTTATTGAGTACCTCCATAAGACTAGCACTGGAATAGAATAATAATGTACATAATTAAATCACAATTCTAGCTCTGCCAGTGACTAGCTTTGATTTGGACAAGTTAATGTCTTTAAGCCTCACTTTACTTACTGTAAAATAGAACTGTTAATTTCTACATGATAGGGCTGTTGAGAGATTGAATCAAGAATGTTAGTGCAGTGGTTCTGACTCTAGTATTTCATTTCATACAGTCATATTTAGGATTTATAACTGATACCCTATAAAACAAATAGAGAGTAAGAAAACAAGTAGAGAATAATATGACTCTATAGTGTATAATCAAATACTTAAATTATGACATGTAAATTATAAATAGTCTGGGAATTTAGAGAAGAGAAAGAACAGTCTTGTGTAATCATTTAATGTTCCTGTGCCTCAACTTTTTTAGGACACGCTGTGGAAATGCTAGGTGATATCCCAGAGAATGACTAAGGTATTATATATAGCATTTTTGCTTTTTTTAGGTGGTCCGTATGATGGTGGGAAGGAAGGGAGAAGCTTGGGGAACTGTTAGAAACCAAATTTGACACTTAATCTTAATTTTTTTTTTTTATCCTCACCTGAGGACATTTTTCGATATTTTGTTCAGATAGAGTGGGAGGGAGAGAGAGAGATACACACATCGATGTGAAAGGGACACATCGAGTGGTTGCCACCCACACGACCCAACCAGGGCCGGGGACAAACTGCAACCGAGGTATGTGCCCTTAGCGGGAACCGAACCTGGGTCTCTCTGGACTGCAGGCCGACGGTCTAACCGCTGAGCCAAACCGGCCAGGGCCTTAATTTTTTCTTTATGTGGTCATGACAGCCTTATAAGAAAACTTGAAGCTGGAGATTAAAAGCATTACCTTCCAAGGAAGGTGCTTGCTTTGGTATTTCTTCCTGTTGCCTCACTGGCATTTTAATTAGTTGAGAACTAGTGTTGGTCAATGGATGGCCTCTGACTGTTAAGTACCTCGGATATAATCTGAGGATTAAATGATTTGTAGTCCAAATTATCTCTCTGATTTTATGGCAAAAATATAACATACAAACAGACAGGGCAGGAGAAGATTTAGTTCTCTTGAACTAAAGTTAGGGACATATGGTTTACTTACTATGAGTGTATCTCTGGGATGAGACATCTTTACTCGGAACAGAGTTCAGACTGATAATCTGGGTCCTCCCACCTTTAAATAGGCTTTCATAAGCCATGAATATGTAAAATACCTTTAAAAACATCTTTACTTACAATATCCAAAAGAAACTGTTTCAACTCCTTATTTGGTACGTACTTGCTTGGTAATTTTTTGTTAGTCTGATTTTGGAAAATTTGTATTTGGTTTTTAGTTTTGTATAGATCAACTCTCTTCTAGAACATTTTAGAGAAGTTTCCCATGAAAGTAAAGCTGCTCATACCCTTTCTTTTCCTCTTTGGTTTCTCCTTTTTGTTGTTAGTGTTTTTTTCTTGGCATTGTTTGCCAAGGTTTCAAGTTTATAGTGAGAGGTGAGGCAACGTTGATCTTGGCAGAACAGCACAAAGCCAGTAGAGTCATTAAGTGACGCAAGCTTTTGATTTTTTTCTTTCTGTTAAAGCTCTCTGGCACAGCTGGCTATTCTAGTCACAGAGGAAGAGAGGAGGAGAAGTTCTAGGTGGAATGATAGAAGATATTTGGATCATATTAATAGCAGCAGCAACAGCAAATACCCCATATAATTCAAACAAGCTTCTTAGCTTTGTGGGGTCTATGTCAATTGCTTGGAACTTGAGTTTTTATTTCAGAGGATGATGGAACAGGGCGAGGAGGGTTGTGTTGGATTCTTGCTTACCTGTCTGCCTCTCCTTACAGTTGGAAAAATCTTCAATCCACAAGAAGCATTATTAACAAGCCTAAGAAACACATCCTACCCTGATCCTGGATTCTGATGAAGTTGAGGATTACAGCCACTTCACGAGGATTTTATAGAGACAGTTCAAGAAGAATAGAAGGAAACAATACTGAAGAATTTCTGTTTGTATTAGTCCTGTGCCTTGTTAAAATTTGGGCTTTGTTTGGAGCAAGTTGGGGACAGATCTGTCATGTGGATCTAAGTGGATACCTGCATTCCTTGTACTACATATATGATATTTAGAAGGTTGTAAACTCAAAATCTTTCAACATATGATCATTAAATTCTGGATTCTCTTTCTGTTAAGGACTTCAGCAGACAGAAACTCCCTCCCCAAAAGATACAAAACCTCCTCTGTGTTTTCAGGCTAAATGTGAACAATAATGTCTTGGAAGAGAAATTATTTTTCAGGGGGCCGTGGTAGTGTTCAAGGGATGTTTGCGCCTCGAAGCTCAACCTCTATAGCCCCCAGCAAAGGCCTCAGCAATGAGCCTGGGCAAAACAGTTGCTTCCTCAATAGTGCCTTGCAGGTAAGAACAATTTCTTTCTTTTTGGTGAACTTTGACTTTTAGTTGCTGGTATTGTATTTCTGATAACTCTTTTAAATGTAACACTTGACAGTCTCTGTTTGAGGTCACAAACCTGAGATAATTTTTTAAGTTTATCTGTGTGATCTTTGAGTCTCAATGACATCATTGGTAAAAAGGGGATTAATATTATTGAAATAATAACTGTGACGACTATGGCTTACCTGTGTAAAGGGGAGGAGGTATATGGATTAGATGATCTGTTTATTGACTTTTCTCTTGAATAGTCTCTTCTGTTTTCTTTTTTTCCCTTTTTGACACCAATGTGTCTTACCAACCTAATTGCTTTACTCTGGTATAGAAAGCAAAATTTGTTCCACAAGTCAAAGACTTTCTTATCTCCTAATGTTATTTTTGTCTCATAATATTCAGGCTTTTAGCACACACACTGATAGATTCCAGTCTTTTTGTCCACCTCTTCATCTCCTTCCTCTGAGATCACACCTAGTAGCTCATACTTGGTGTCAGGTCAATATGCTTGAATAGAGCTAGTGGAAAGTAAATTCCCCTAAGGTGATTATCTACTCTAGATTTTCCCTTTTGGTGTTGCTTGGCAAGCAACACCTTAGTGGTCTCAGAATCCCAGAGCTTCCTGTCTGCCTGCCTGATCTACCTAGTGAGGCCCATAGACTGTTAGGTTCATACCCCTTGGCCTAACTTTCAAGTAATCCCTTTTTTCTCTTTTATGCTTTTCAGAGTAAAAGTAAATGAAAATTTCCACCCAAGATAATTATGCTTTAGTTAAATATTAGTTTTATATCTAAGATTTAATGAGAAAATAAGTTGCTAATGAGAGCAGTAAAGACAAGAGTATTTGATATAAAAAACATTGGACTTAGGAATTAGGAGACCTGGATTCTACTTTTTGGTCTTCTGTAGACTAGTCTTATGACCTCATACAGGTAATAGTATTTCAGTTTCCTCATTAATAATAAAAGAATCTTGTCAAGCCTATTTGTGTAATCAAGGTTTCATACTCTCAGTTTTCCAATTTTTATTTGAAAACATTAAAAAATCCTATGCTTCCCAGCCGGTGTGGCTCAGTGGATTGAGCATTGTCCCATGGACTGAGAGGTCCCGGTTTGATTCCTGGTCAGGGCACATGCCTGGGTTGTGGGCTCAATCTCCAGTGAGGGGTGTATGGCAGGTAGCTGTTCAGTGTTTCTCTCTCACATTGATGTTTCCCTCGCTCTCTCTCCCTTCCTTTCTCTCTAAAAAATCAATGAAAAAATATATTTAAAATGAAAATAAAATAAAAAATCTTATGCTGTGAAACCTATAGAAAGAGTTTAAGTACTTTCATTAATTACTACCACAATTTTCTTAAAGCTGAGTGGGGTTGGGTAGGTTTTTTCCAGGTGATGCATATTAGGTTTTTGAATGACTGCATAAACTATAACAGTACTTTTGTTATTTATTTATTTATTTAATTATTTATTTGTTAATCCTCACCTGAGGATATTTTTCCATTGATTTTTTTAGTTATTAATTTATTTTTGTTACAGATGTTTCTCCTTTTTGCCCTCTTGATACCCTTCTCCTGATGCTGCCACCCCCCCACACCCCAGCATTGTTGTTTATGTCCATTGGTTATGCATATAAGTTCTTTGATTTATCTCATCCTTTCCATTGACTTTTAGATAGAGTGGAAGGGGGAGAGAGAGAGACACATTGATTGTTTGCCTCCCACATAATCCTGGGATCGAACCTGCAACCCAGGTACATGCCTTTGGCTGGGAATCAAACCCACGACCCTTTGGTCCACAAGCCGACACTCTGCTGAGCCAGACCTGCCAGGGCTACTTTTATAATTTAGAAGCAGGTAAAAAGGTGTCGATACAGGTGCATTGATATTTCCCTTCTTCTTGGCCACAGCCCTGTTTTTATAATTCTGTATTTCTTTCTGTTTTCTACATATACTGTCAATTGGAACAATATTTATGCCTTTCTATTCTAAATTCCAGTGCTATATCCTATAGATACACACACAGATATGTATTTCTTTATCCATACTTAAAGATTGTGTCATTGATGGTTTTGGAGTGCATATCATAATTATGTTACAAGATGAAAATAATTGTTTCTCTGAGCTAATATTCTAACTTGATATGAAAGCTATGTTTACCACAGATGTATTGAATCCATTACATTTGTTTAAAAAAAGTTACTTATTTGGGAGCATAGCCTGTTTCAAAAAACTTTTGAAATATGTACCTTGAGACACCTAACTAAGACGCTCCAGAGGTGTCCTGTGATCTGGGGTTCCAGAAGTGTAGTGCCTTTTCATATATGGTGCCATTTAAATGTTTTCCAGACAAGAGGAGCTCAGTAAGGTACTATGCTATATATTACACCATTTCTTTTTTAACTAAAGTTCGTAATTTATTCAGATTTCTTTAGTTTTTACCTAGTATCTTTTTCTATTCCTGGATCCCATCCAGGATACCACCTTTACATTTACTTGTCATGTTCCCTTAGGCTTCTCTTGGCTGTGACAGTTTCTCAAAATTTCCTTGTTTTTGATGACCTTGACAGTTTTGAGGAGTATTAGTCAAGTATTTCATAGGATGTTCCACTGTTGGAATTTGTCTGATGTTTTCCTCATGAAAAATTGGACTTATGGGTTTTTAAGAGGAAGACCATAAAAGCAAAGTGCCATTTTCATTACATACTATAGACATGATTTATCATTGTTGATATCACTTTTATTTTTAATCTGTTGACTTGAGGAGGTTACAACTCTCTCCAAAAATTGAGAATCTGTGTAATAAAGACAAAATTCCACACTACAATTTAAACCTTCTAAAGAAGTTTTTAAATATTCTTGCTTTTATTGTGGACCATTAAAATAAACTCTTATTCTGCAGCTATTCACCCATAAATTTTCTCTTCAGGATCACACTTGATGTATGTCATACCATATATTTTCTGTGTGACCTTCCTTCATGTTCAAATTAATGTCTTCCAGAATATGGGTGTCTGTCTCTCTTGTTAGATGCCTCCTTTTTTGACATTTGATATACTAGAATGAGCTTTTCTCTTGGCAATAAGGATATCTTCTGCAATCATTGCCTATGTTTGCTTGAACTCTTGAATTTAAAATTAAATAGTGGCTTATTTAGAGTAATGTATTTTCCCTTCTTTGCCAGGTTTTATGGCACTTGGACATCTTCCGACGTAGTTTCAGGCAGCTTACAACTCACAAATGCATGGGAGATTCCTGCATCTTTTGTGCTCTCAAGGTAAGTAGTTCAAATTTGTTTCTTCTCATTACCATTAGGTTGCCAAATGACCAATATTTAGGAGGTTTTTGGTATTTTTGTTTGTTTTTTATTTTTTTTATCCTCACCTGAGGACATTTTTCGATACTTTTGTTCAGGTAGAGTGGGAGGGAGAGAGAGAGAGAAAGAAACCCACACGACCCAACCAGGGCCAGGGGGACAAACTGCAACCAAGGTATGTGCCCTTAGCGGGAACCGAACCCAGGTCTCTCTGGACCGCAGGCCGACGCTCTAACTGCTGAGCCAAACCGGCCAGGGCTTGAGGAGGTTTTAGATTAATCAAAGTGATGCTAAGTAATTTGTTACAGAATTATCTGCTTGTGGTTTAGTGCAAAGGATGACTATGATTAACTTTTTTCTCTTTCAAAAATTACTACTTGAATTGAGTACTCTCTTTTTTTTCTAAGCTTTTTGCCTGTGCAGCTCTATTTAAGGTGATAGGATACTATTCCAATATGTTTAGACTTTGAGTATTTAACTGAAAAGCTCATTCTAAATTTTCATTTTGAAAGCATAAACAACCCAAGTGTTCTTAAAGCTAAATTTATCAACAAATTCTCTCTATTAAGAAAATCTAGAGGAGAGGCCACGAACTACGTTCGGAGCTGTTTTCGAGTTCTCTTAGACACAATGAGCAAAGCTCACCCTCCTGAGTTAAAAAAATTTATGGACAAGAAGTTGTCATTGAAATTAAATGGTGGCAGACATGTCCAAGGAATATTGCGGGGATTTGATCCCTTTATGAATCTTGTGATAGATGAATGTGTGGAGATGGCAACTAGTGGGCAACAGAACAACATTGGAATGGTGGTAATACGAGGAAATAGCATCATCATGTTAGAAGCCTTGGAACGAGTATAAAGAATGGCTGTATTCACCAGAGAAATCAACTGCTTCCACATGTCCCCTCTCCACAGCACCTGTTTTACTACAATATAAAAATAGAATTGTGTCCATTTTCACATTGAATTTCTGTTAAATAAACTTTTGTATTGGTCAAAAAAAAAAAAAAGAAAATCTAGTATTAAAATGTTCCCATTCCCTAATGTTCCCATTATCACATTTAATAGATTTTTTTTTTCCTTCACCTGGTTTCCTTTATTTTATTTTTAATTTTATTTTTGTTACAGATGTTTCTCCTTTTTACCCCATTGACACCCTCCTCCCCATCGCCCCCACCCCGTCCCCGGCTTTGTTGTCCATGTCCATTGGTTATGTGTTCATGCATATAAGTTCTGTGGTTTATCTCTTTCCTCCCCCTACCACCTCCTCTTCTGAGGGTTGACAGTCTGTACCCTACTTTCATGTTTCTGGGTCTACCCTATTCCTCAGACTGTTATGTTCATTATATTCCACAAATAAGTGAGATCATGTGGTATTTGTCTTTTTCTGCTTGGCTTATTTCACTTAGGATAATACTTTCCAGGTCCCTCCATGTCGTCTCAAAGGATAAAAGATCTTTCTTTCTTACAGCTACATAGTACTCCATTGTGTATATGTACCACTGCTTTTTTATCCATTCGTCTACTGATGGACACGTGGGCTGTTTCCAGATCTTAGCTATTGTAAATAGTGCTGCTATAAACATGGGAGTACATATATTCTTTCTGATTGGTGTTTCAGGCTTCTTAGGGCATATTCCTAGAAGTGGGATCATTGGGTCAAATGGAAGTTAAATTTTTAATTTTTGAGATAACACCATATTGTTTTCCATAGTGGCTGCACCAGTCTGCATTCCCACCAGCAGTGTAGTAGAGTCCCCTTTTCTCCACACCCTCGCCAACACTTGTTGTTTGATGCTTTGTTGATCGCAGCCATTCTGACAGGTGTGAGGTGATACCTCATTGTTGTTTTAATTTGCATCTCTCTGATGATTAGTGATGTTGAACATTTCTTCATATGTCTCTTGGCCATTTGTATGTCCTGTTTGGAAAGGTATCTATTCAGCTCCTTTGCCCATTTTTTAATTGGGTTCTTTGTCTTCCTTTTGTTGAGTTGTATGAGTACTCTATATATTTTGGAAATTAACCCCTTATCTGATGTATCATTGGCAATGATGTTCTCCCATACAGTGGGTTGCCTTTCCATTTTGATGGTTGTTTCTTTTGCTGTGCAGAAGGTTTTTAGTTTGATGTAGTCCCATGTGTTCATTTTTTCCTTTGTTTCTGTTGCCTTAGGTGATCTATCAGTGAAAATTCTGCTGCGTATGATGTCCGAAAGTTTGTTGCCTACGTTTTCTTCTAGAATTTTTATGGATTCACAGGTCACATTTAAGTCTTTTATCCATTCTGAGTTTATTTTTGTGTATGGTGTAAGTTGATGGTCTAGCTTCATTTTTTTTGCATGTAGTTGTCCAATTTTTCCAACACCATTTATTAAAGAGGCTCTCTTTACTCCATTGTATGCTCTTGCCTCCTTTGTCAAATATTAATTGAGCATAGTGTCTTGGGTCCATTTATGGGTTCTCTATTCTTTTCCACTGGTCTATATGCCTGTTCTTGTGCCAGTACCAGGCTGTTTTGATTAAATCACTTTGTAGTATAACCTGATATCTGGTATTGTGATCCCACCTACTTTATCCTTCATTTTCAAGATTGCTGTGGCTATTCGGGGTCTTTTTTGGTTCCATATGAACTTTTGAAGTATTTGTTCTAGTTCTGTAAAATATGTCGGTATTTTGATGGGGATTGCATTGAATCTATATATTGCTTTGGGTAATACGGAGATTTTAATGATGTTATTTCTTCCAATCCATGAACAAGGTATGTGCTTCCACTTTTTATATCTTCCTCTATTTCCTTTTTCAATGACCTGTAGTTTTCTGCAAATAGGTTCTTTACTTCTTTGGTTAAGTTTATTCGTAGGTATCTTAATTTTTTTTGCCGCAATGGTAAATGGGATTGTTTTCTCAGTTTCTCTTTCTGTGAGTTCATCGTTGGTGTATAAGAATGCTGTCGATTTCTTGACATTAATTTTGTATCCTGCTACTTTGCCAAATTCATTTATTGAGTCTAGTAGATTTTTGATGGAGTCTTTAGGGTTTTCTATGTATAATATCATGTCATCTGCAAATAATGACAGTTTCACTTCCCCCTTTCCAATTTGGATCCCTTTTATTTTTTCTTCATGTCTGATTGCTGTGGCTAAGACTTCCAGTAGTATGTTAAATAAGAGTGGCAAAAGTGGGCATCCCTGTCTTGTTCCTGTTCTTAAGAGAAATACTTTTAGTTTCTGCCCACTGAGTATGATGTTGGCTGTAGGTCTTTCATGTATGGTTTTTATTATGTCAAGATATGATCTCTCTATTCCCAGATTGCTGAGCGATTTTATCAGAAATGGATGCTGGATTTTGTCGAATGCTTTATCAGCATCTATTGATATGATCGTGTGGTTTTTAGTCTTCATTTTGTTTATGTGGTAGATCACATTTATTGATTTGCAAATATTGTACCAGCCTTGCATCCCTGGGATGAATCCCACTTGGTCATGGTGAATACTTTTTTTGATGTATTGCTGGATCTGATTTGCTGGTATTTTGTTCAGGATTTTGGCGTCTATGTTCATCAGGGATATTGGCCTGTAGTTTTCTTTCTTTGTTGTGTCTTTTTCTGGTTTTGGAATTAGAATTATGCTGGCCTCATAAAACAAGTTTGGAAGCCTTACTTCTTGAATTTTTTGAAATAGTCTGAGGAGACTGGGTGTTAGTTCTTTTTTGAATGTTCGGTAAAACTCCCCCGTGAAGCCACCCGGGCCTGGGCTTTTGTTTGCTGGGAGAGTCTTGATTACCTCTTCAATTTCCTTAGTTGTTATTGGTCTGTTCAAGTTTTTTATCTCTTCCCGGTCCAGTTTTGGGAGACTGTGTGTTTCTAGAAATTTGTCCATTTCGCTTAGATTGTCGAATTTGTTGCCATATAATTGTTCATAGTACAATTTGTTGTTAATGATCTTTTGTATTTCTGTGGTGTCAGTTGTTACTTCTCCTCTTTTATTTCTGATTTTGTGTATTTGGCTTCTCTCTCTTTGTTTCTTGGTGAGGCTAGCTAAGGGTCCATCAATGTTGTTTATCTTTTTGAAAAACCAGCTCTTTGTTTCATTGAATCTTCGAATTGGTTTTTTTTTTTTTTGGACTCTATGTCATTTATTTCTGCTCTGATCTTTACTATTTCCTTCCTTCTACTTGCTCTGGGGTTTTCTTTTTGTTTGCTTTCTAGTTCTTTAAGTTGTGAGGTTGGATAGTCTATTAGAAATTTTTCTTGTTTCTTGAGGTAGGCCTGTAGTGCTATGAACTTCCCTCTCAGAACTGCTTTTGCTGCATCCCATAGATTTTGTGCAATTGTGTGTTCACTTTCATTGGTTTCCAGGACATTTTAAAATTCTTCCTCGATCTCCATGGTAACCCAATCATTGTTTAATAACATGCTATGTAGTCTCCATGTGTTCAAATGTCTTTGTATGTTTTTGTTGCAATTAATTTCTAGTTTCATGCCATTGTGATCTGTGAAGATGCTTGGTATGATTTCAATCTTCTTGAATGTGTAGAGATTTAGTTTGTGTCCTATTATGTGGTATATCTTTGAGAATGTCCCATGTGCACTTGAGAAGAATGTGAATTCTGTAGTTTTGGGGTGTAATTCTCTGTGGATATCTATTAAATCTATTTTGTCTAGTGCTTCAATTAGAGTCTCTGTTTTCTTGCTAAGTTTTTGTCTAGAGGATCTATCCAGTGGTGTCAGCAGGGTGTTGAAGTCCTCTGCTATGATTGTATTGCTATTGATTTCTCCTTTGAAGTCCTCCAGAAGATTTTTAATATATTTTGGTGCTTCTATATTGGGTGCATATATGTTTATCAAGGTTATATCTTCCTGTTAGATAGATCCTTTCAGTATTATGTAGTGGCCTTGTTTGTCTCTAGTTATGGCCTTCATTTTGAAATCTATTTTATCAGATATGAGTATTGCTAC